AAATAAAAAGGCTCATTAGTAGGATGCAATTTCGGTGAAATGGTCGCGTTTGTCCGTGGTTCTCCGAAGCTTGCGCTTGGAAATCGTACACTTCGTTAGTCGCGCGGCAATTAGCCGGTTCGCGTCTTAATTACTCGGCTACCCCCTTCTCAGACTACTCGAAGGACGGTCGAAGATCCTTCCTTGTGGGAAATGCATCTTGCGCGGAAAGTGCTCATGGAGAAGATCGATTTTCCGCGTCCAACAGACGAGAGATGGGCGGTGATACACTGGGTTAAGATGCACGCGGAGTTTAGAGTAAAGAACTCTAAAGAGCGTGCCTGCTTCTTTATTCCCTCCCTCTTTCTCTCTAGTGTTTACCAGAAGAGATCTGTGTTTAGCCTCATGGGAGGGAAAAAATGTGGATTTTGGATGGGAGAGGCTCTCTTTTCGGCGGAGAGAAAGTTAAGCTGAGCGCTGCAGGGAGAATGTACAGTTGATGGAACAAATATGTATAGCGAGGTAGTAAAATCGGACAGGAGTCAAAGTAAATGTATTTCGAGTGTTCTGACAGGGGAATTGACAGAAATATGAAAAGATAAGAACCGAAAATTCCGATTAAAAAAAATTTTTTTTTCGCTACTTTTTGGTTCTTCAGTGTGAAAACACCCTTGAACCCTTTCATTGCTATTGGCGTTTGCACATTTCCACTTTAATTTAACCCTCGTGCACTGTTCCGGTCAATTTGACCCAAAATCGATCTTTGGCATTAACTACCTGTGAGTACAAAAACACAGCAAGCAAAGCCATTATATAAAAGAATTATTTCTAATAAATCATCTAATATGCATGGATTTACTTCGAGATTACGAGTACCAGCGTAACAATTATTTAAACAGTGCACGAGGGTTAGTAAACCGAAAATTTCACCGTCTGCTACACACACGTCACGTATTAAAATTTCCCGCAGCGAGAGGGTTAAAGGTTAATGTATGTTTTCCTATTGTTCGTGTCCTCTTTTCGATAGCTGCTTTGCATTTCTTGTTTGGAGTTCTTTAACTTTCTTCACATTTTTCTCTCTGTTCTTCTCGATATCGAATTAGAACTATCAATTTCCCGAGGAAGATTCACGATTTAACTTCAGTCTCATTAATCGAGTCTAACGTGTAGCATGAAATTTTCGAAACCGTGAGTTTTGCATTATTTTATTCGACTGGCTGCATCTTGCGAAGGCAAATTCCACGATAGATCCAACGTAATGGCTACTTTCGGCAACTGTGCCATTAACCTTCTCGACAATTAACGAAGAACCACTCTTAATAACCAGTTACCAACGAAATTCACCGTATCAGCGTATAGTTTGGCCCACTTTTCCTCGTCTCGAAACTATTCCTCCGACAATCTACTTCGTTTCTCGAACGAACAGCTGCTCCTCAAACATCCAACAGTTTCCAGAAGAGGAAGAAAAAGGAGGAAGAAGGACTTGGCCAATTCTTCTGGAATTATTAAGGTATTACGAAGCAAGGAAAGGGAGGGAGGGCGCGTGGTCGAATTCAAGGGAAAAAGATAAAAAGATCGCGACAAGGGGGCAAATACAGGCTTTCACGGATCAGATGGGAAAAGGGAGCCGATGAAGCGAGAGAATTTGTTCAAGTTTCTATTCTCTTATTGCGCCTTCGACCTGGATTCGATGTCAGTGCTACAATTGCTGCTGCTAATCGATGTTAACGTGATTATTGCGGGAAAAAGAAGAGCATGCAGTCGACATTCGTCGTGGCAAGTGGTTCTTTAACACTTGAAACAGTATGATTCAAAAATGGTGGATCACTGTGCATTGAAAAGTTGTTTCTTTTATTTTTGTCTATACTACACACTCTTATATCTTGTACTTTATCCATCTTTTTGTACAACTGCGTTACCGACGTAAAGATTTCATCACGTATAATATTAATGTATTGTATATGTAGTGGAAATTTATTTCCGCCAAACAAACAAACGAAATTAAATCAAATTAAATTTTAGTTGCGTCGGGTAATTAGATTAGAAATCCTGATTATCGGCGATTTCAAATTACCTCACATTAATTGGTTTTTTGCCAATTTCTTTTGTTTTGCCTCCAACTTTACTTGTGAACAACTCGACTTACTTTATGTCCGCTAATATTTCAGACCAGTATTATAACTACCACAATTTACTATAACATAATTCTGTTATTAATTTCCATGGCAGTATGTTAGATCTTATATTTTGTAAACACATTCTTGTTTCTTGTACTTTAATTATCTTCTTTTTGTATAATTGTGTTACCGTCGTCGTAAGGATACTCATCACATACACTACCGGCCAAAAGTTTCGAATCACCTGCTAATTTACGGTAAAATTGAATCCGCTGCTAATTTTTTATAGATTTGAAATTAATGTTGCGGAGATCGATAGTATTTTACCTTATTTCGGTTGATTTAAGCGAGGAACAATTGGTTAAAATATTCTTAAAATTGCTAACTTTATTCTGGAAATTTTTCTATAACTTGTAATGCACAGTGATTCCAGACATTTGGCCGGTAGTGTATAGCATTAATATATTGTATTTCTAATGGAAATTTATTTCCGTTAGTCAATTTAAATAAAAAATATTATATTTGCAACTGGCTCTATCGAGCTAACCAGCAAATTTGATACAAAATTTTTCACTACCGTCCATAAGTATTTGGCCACTTCCATTGTACAAAGTATGATTCATATATTATTGTCAAATGTAACTTTTGTCGTTGTTTTTGGTTCACATACTCTAATACGAATTGCGAGACAATAATGAACTGAAAATAATGCAATGGCCACCACAGTCACCCGATTTAAATCCAATCGAGAAACTGTGGGACGAAATGGACCGAAAAGTGAAAGAAAAATGCCCAACATCTGAAAAACAGTTGTGGAAGTATCTACAAATCGCCTGGAAAGAGATTTTGCGAACCAGGCGACTCGATACGTCGAGATTCTACGCGATTAACAAACAGGCCATTCGAGATGGTGAATTGACAATCGTAAAAATGATGATCAAAAGGAAACGCAAAGCTGTAAAGCTCTGTATGGGAATATTATCATTCTTAACCCTTTGCACCACGTCACCAGATACTTACATATAAAAACAAAGAAATAAAAACTACATGTCTAAATAACCACGAGCTACTTCTCTTCGTACACCTAAGACGATTTAGCCGAGAGCAAATCTAAGGAAGTAATTAAGGGTGCAAAGGTTCAATCATCCGGGAAGGCTCTCCCTGTACTCAGATCTATTATAGTTGGGGCCACGGTATAGCGAGGTCGTAAAATCGGTTAGGCGTCAAAGTAAACATGTTTTAGCTGCCGGGACCCCGAAATTGACAGAAATACGAGCAGATAAGTACTTGAAACCATTGTCAGGACCGTACGAAGAATTTTTGTATCCAGCGTCAATGTATCTTGTATGATATATCAAAGAAAAAATTCTTAATCACATTACAATTTTTCTTTCTTGTTTTCTAATTTATTGAGTTCGTCTTCCTTTTCATTGTTGATATTCTTCTTCGATTTTGATCACCCTATTCACAGTTTTTTTCCAATTATGCGGTTTAATACTGTCCATTTCTCTTTTTATTAATTCAACAACTTGTTGATGAAATTTCGGGCATCTATTTTTTCTTCTTATATTCAATTTTAATTGAGCCCAAATCATTTCTATTGGATTAAATATGCAGAAATATGGTGGCAATCTCAGGACAGTATGGCCGTTCTTCTCTGCTATTTCATCAATAACATATCTTTTTTTAAATTTTCCAATTTTTAAAATTTCTTTCTAAATTTCTTAAAAGATAGTGATTAATATTAAATATTTTCCATTTGTAAATGAAATATCATTTTCCATTTGAAATACCAAATCATATGCTACCATTCATTTATTGTTAGAATCCTCAAGCAGACTGCAACGCACGGCCCTGAGTGCCGCAGCATCAATAGGTGCCGCTTCTTAAGAGCTTAATTTACGACCTCGCCATATCTTGGCCCCGACTATACATTGAAAAAATTGGTTGCTAGATTATCTCGTTATTATCCAGCGTGAGGGATATATAGATGAATAACATATTTGATCGTTTTCGTCTATTTACAGGTAATATTTTGAATTTGCAATACATTATAACATTTCTGTACCTCGCAAATATAAAGTAGCTGTCCTTCTACTTAGAAATATTTACATTGCAGCAAAGATATAAATATTTGAAACCAATTCCTCCAAGTGGCCAAATACTTACGGACGGTAGTGTATATTATACAGTACAAAGTATCCCATGCAAGGTGTCGCAACGGAATTTCAGGGCTTCTTTTGAAATTTACAAAAAATTGTTTTAGACAAAAGTTGAACTACATTTAAATATACGTAACTTTGATAAACCATAGTTTCTTTATCTACATTTTCCTTCGGAGATACGAATGTTACGTTTCGTTTCTATAAACTCTCTCGCGATTATTCTGAGCACGTGAGAACACGACCAATTTGAAAGAAAAAGAAATACCTTGCCCTCGATGAAAGCCTCTAAATAGGGTGCAGGCCGATTATACCATAGCAAATGGAGGACAATAAGTGGAAACGAAGTTCGTTAGCCGTCGACACCCGGTCGAACAAGCCACGATCCTTTTAGGAGGCTGGAAATTCCGGGATCGTAGTTGCGTTAGGCGAATTCGTTAGCCAAACTCTTCCCACTGCATCCCTAGTGCACGCGTGTACGTGTCAGGCGGCGAATTAAACTCTTCTGTTCCTTTTCTGTTTTGATCCTGCGATTAAGTGGCTAGACAAGAGCTGCGAACTTATTTCGAAAAGAAGGAGCAAAATGAGACGTTGCGACCACTGTTACGGTATCCAAATGGAATTTCAATTGTGAATTCGTTTGAAAGTGAATTTTTTCAAACATAAAAAGAAAAGAAAGAAAAAAAAAATTGTAGAAGATTTTCAGTATTTGTAATCTTTTCTCGATTTTGTGTGATTCCAGGGGACGTCATCGACTGCTGAACGGCAAGAGACGAAAAATCAGCTGGTATGTCAAATAATCAGCTGGTTGACTCCTGTCTGTAAGTGTCTTTCTCTCCTCGAGCTCTCAGTCGAGAGGCTCGTAACCAATTAATACCATACATTCTCTTCTATCTCTATACTACATCCTATCTACATCTGTCTCTCTTCTACTTGTGAAAATTAAAAGAAAAGATTGTTCGTCTGCTTTTCTTCTCCGTTTACTACCAACCACTGTTCGAGCGTTAACGAAACTCGTAACTCGGCTAATTGGCAAAACTCGTAGCTCTATTACACTTTGTAGTAACAGCTTTTGGAGATAAAAGAAAGAAAGGGGCAACAACGTCTGTAATATTATTGCATTCCCATTCTGTCGTTCTTCTCCACTTGGCTCTTTCGGTTACGTTTCTTTGTCGATCTCTCTTGTTGCCGATGTAAAAACAGATGAAAAAGACAGTTACAACATCTATAGTCCGTTTCGAGATGTTGCACCCTACACTAGGAAGCACGTACACTAGTCCTATCCGACGCGCGGATTAATCCAAGCGAAATTATTAATGTCAGGCTGGTGAATCGTCGGATCGAGCAGAGACAGGAGCACAGCATTACGCACACTGAGATCACGCAGAGGTGACTAACATGACATAATCGACTGGGTTAGTCATTCTGAGCAATTAACGCGTCCCTTTGTTACACGATCATCTGTAAAATGATAAGCCCCTCTCTGTTTTTAATCGTTCTTTCATTCGAGCCAATTTCACTTTTTAATCGTTATTTAACCCTTTCTGGACGACGGATTACCTGTGAATATGTAATTTGGACAGTATCTCTGTTTTTTCTTTCACGCTAAAACATTTCGAAATTTGGTTTTCTAATGAGAGAAACGGAATCACCAATATGTAACGTCTGTAAGCAAATTATATCGACCAGTCACCTACTATTCGAATGCAGAAGATACCGCACCCAAAGACAAAAATATGACGTCACAGAAACACGTAGAAAATACCTTAAACTACCTAAAGGACATCAGCATCTACTATAATATATAATCGGATAGAAACGAGGACAACAAGACCTAGTCGTCGCTAATGACCTGAAGATCGATGCGACGTAAAACTCAAAAAAAAAAAAAAATTTGGTTTTCCTTAAATATAGACATATGAGTTTATGGCAAAGTCAACTTAAAAATATGGGAGTTATTGGTTGCATTCATAGTGTTTTATGAAGGCACACGTGAGTCCATTGTCCTGAAAGGATTAATTCGTGTAAATTTTATTTTGAAACACATCATTTGTCGGGAATCGTTTTTGATACCGAATAGCGAAGAAATATTACGCTCCTCGTGCATACTGATGGTTAATTTGCGTAAAAAGATGCGATTATCAGAATGATTAATACCAGCAGCACTAACACGTGTGTGTTCGTTCAGCATGGCTGCAAGAAAAGTGGTGTGTGACGAGGACACCAGGCGAGTAGTTTAGCGCAATTAGAAGTGTTTTTACATGATGCTTTGCTTTGTTTTTCATTTTCATTGGTATGTGTGTGTGTGATCTGTTTTATTATTTCTTTTGTCTATATTAATATTAGTTAGATCGTACGATCTATCGATGTGCGCTGGAGGATCATACGGATCGAGACGGTGATTGGATTTGATATTTGATTTTTGCAGACGCGTTCTCCAGGAGAAGGGCCCCGACATGCCGCAATACACGTAAGATATCGAATAAATTGATGATTGTTTTAGAGTTGTGCACAGTGGAATGGACGTGTTTCTAATTGATCGTTATTGTGGACGTTTTGCAGCGGACAGAGTGATGCAGATTACCACGGAAGTAACGGCCAGGCGGACACCCATTCGTTGCATTCGTCTCATTTGTCTGTCCAGGAGGATCCATTACTCATCCGGAGCCATAAGCAGCAAACTACCCAACAAGTGAGATCCGTTTTCGCGTTTTATCACCGGTCTAATTCGTTAACCAACGATTTCCCTTCTAATCTAGATGACTACACTCTTCGAAAGTGCACCCCCTGCACTTTTTACGAATTCTCGTTCGTAGTGCTATTAGTGTTCTTAGTAATTTTAGCGCTTTAAACATAGTTTAAGCTTAGAATTTTCGAAATTCTCAGAACTTTTGCAGATCTGAGAATTCTTGGATCTTTTAAAACGTAAGGAGCTCTTGAAATTTGCAGCATTCTCACAATCTTAGAATTCTCAGCGCTCGAAATTTCAGAACTTTGGAATTTCAGAATTCTCAACGGTATTAAAATTGCAGAATCCTCAGCGCTCCTAAATCTCAGTGCTCTCAGATCTCAGAGCTCTGGGATTTCACGGCTCTCGGAGGTTTCAAATCTCAGAATTCTCAACTCTCAAAATTTTATAATCCTCAGCTCAAATACCAGCGCTCTTAAATCTCAGCGCTTTGGGATTTCACAGCACTCGGAGGTTTAGAATCTCAGAATTCTCAATTCTCAACACCTTATAATCCTCAGCTCAAATATAGCGCTTTTAAATCTCAGTGCTCTCAAATCTCAGCGCTCTGGGGTTTCACAGCTCTCGGAGGTTTCAAATCTCAGAATTCTCATCTCTCAACACCTTATAATCCTCAGCTCAAATATAGCGCTTTTAAATCTCAGTGCTCTCAAATCTCAGCGCTCTGGGATTTCACAGCACTCGGAGGTTTCAAATCTCAGAATTTTCATCTCTCCAAATTTTATAATCCTCAGCTCAAATTTAAGCGCTTGAAAACCTCAGCGCTCTGGGATTTCACATCTCTCAGAGGTTTAGAATCTCAGAATTCTCAACTCTCAACACCTTATAATCCTCAGCTCAAATATCAGCGCTTTTAAATTTCAGCGCTCTCAAATCTCAGAGCTGTGGAATTTGCACTCGGAGGTTTCAAATCTCAGAATTTTCATCTCTCCAAATTTTATAATCCTCAGCTCAAATATAGCGCTTTTAAATCTCAGCGGTCTGGGATTTCACATCTCTCAGAGGTTTAGAATCTCAGAATTCTCAACTCTCAACACCTTATAATCCTCAGCTCAAATATCAGCGCTTTTAAATTTCAGCGCTCTCAAATCTCAGAGCTGTGGAATTTCACAGCACTCGGAGATTTAGAATCTCAGAATTCTCAACTCTCAACACCTTATAATCCTCAGCTGAAATTTAAGCGCTTTTATACCTCAGTGCTCGGAGGTTTAGAATCTCAGAATTCTCAACTCTGCAAATTTTATAATCCTCAACTGAAATTTAAGCGCTTTTAAACCTCAGTGCTCTGGGATTTTAGAACTCTCAGAGCTCTCAAATCTCAAAATCCCAGCACTGTCAGAAAGCGGTGAATTCGAATTCCTCATAGGTGACGAACGTGTCGAAGGTGGTGCGCGAGGTGTCACACATGGAGCCGGATCCAGGCGCGGTCAGCTACATGTCGGTGCCGCTGATGTCCCAGGACTACCAGCATGTGGACCCACGTTATCCAACGGACTCGTACATGGTCGGTTTCGATCATTACGAGCCCTACCTCGGCTATCCACCACAGCCAGGCTATCCAGGTCCTCCACATGGCATTTACATGCCACGCTCGCATTCCCCTCACAGTCCTCATAGTCCTTCGGAGCATAGTCGTGCCTCGCCTCCGCACGGTAAATAATTACCATTTTTATTCACCATATATCGTTTCAATTGAATATTGCGTAAGAAGAAAAACAAAGAAAAGAGGAATATAATCGAGACGATAAATCAAGATATTTTCCTTGTTCTGTTCACCTTGAAGAATACCTGCGCAAGGCGGCGCCATACGTCGAAGGAGGATACAACGACATCGATCCAGGTCTGAATCCAGCGTTGCAGGATCACTATCGTATCACACCTAGTCCAGGCGGTCCAGGAGATCAATATGGTACGTCAGTTATCGGACCAGCAACGCAGACAGTGTCCCTTTTTTTTCCCCTCTTTCACACCAGTTGCAACGATTTTTCGAGCGCGACAGCGGTGACCCAGACAGCTCCATAACGAGATATTCAGCTATCATGTTGCCGCGGCTATTTGTCTGGCCGTGCACAGCATAATTCACTTTAATTATCTCCATGCCTGACATTCGTTGTTATTTTGTGTTTCCCTCTAGATCAAATCAGCAACTCTTGGAATATGGATGACTCTGGCGAACCCTCTCAGCATCCTCATGGTAGGGTCACATCAATAATTTATTTAACACTCTCTCTCTCTCTTTTTCTATCCTTCATCTTTCACTCTCTATCTTTTGCATTCTTCATTTCTCTAACTGTTTATCGTTTGACGAGACACTCTCTAATCCATATTCCACTATTTTTTCTTTTTTTTTTTCTTTCATATCACTGCTAATCTACTCTATCCAGATAATGCGAGTGAATTATGCCTTTCGCGTGTCTGTATGACGTCAGAGGAAACCTGGAAACACTCTGCTAGTAGAGTTCATAATCCAACCATGTTTGGATCGGTCTTTCTTTCAGACGAGAATAAAGTTGCCTATGGTTATGTGTCTACGTCTCCCTATGGACCCGTAGGATACGGCCCTGCCGTTGGTGTTGGTCCAGTTACAGTTCCAAGCGATGTACCAGGCTACGATGAGGGTCATCCTGTGCCACTTACATCTGGAGTACCTCCAGGAATGTTCGAGGACGAGGTCCATCTTCAGAGACTACAATCTCGACACCCTGTAGTCCCTGGTATGGCCAGTCCACTCGACGACGATCAGAAATCCATGAGATGGCGAGACCCTAATCTATCCGAGGTCATAGGCTTCCTGAGTAATCCGAATAATATAATAAAAGCGAACGCTGCCGCGTATCTTCAACATCTATGCTACATGGACGATCCAAACAAGCAAAAGACGCGAAATATGGGCGGTATACCACCGTTGGTGCAATTGTTGGATCACGACAACCCCGACGTGTATAGGAATGCTTGCGGCGCACTGAGGAATCTGTCTTACGGTAGACAGAACGACGAGAACAAGAGGGCTATCAAGAATGCTGGCGGAGTGCCTGCTCTGATCAATCTGCTGCGCAGGACGTCTGATGCTGATGTGAAGGAACTGGTCACGGGAGTTCTGTGGAACTTGTCCTCTTGTGAGGTAAGAAGTAGAACCGTGGAACGTTCGGTTTCATTGATTTATCAGGTTGTTGCATATGAAAAGGCTGATTTCACAAGCTCCTGATGTTTTCAGAAAATTGTTATCAAATGATAAAGCTTAAAGGTAACCAGAAACAGCAGGACTGGCGGTTCGTCGATTGTTTTATTGTTGGATCAAGATGAACTTTAAATGACCATGTTTTAACAGGAAAAAGGGTTGAAAAGTGTTTTCGAAGAAAAAATTTATTTTAAATAAAGGCATAAGTAACCTCGTTTTGCGATGGACAAAGTGGATCATACTTCGATTGATGAATATTATGTTTACTAAAACTACAAATGTTGAAAGTCTCATTCACCTGTTAGCTGGGAAAGACCGATCAGTATTCACTCGATCGATCAGTATTTAAAGTAGAACGTTTCATTTATTGAAGGAATCCTCATTTTTAATTGTCTCATTTGAAATACACAAGACTTGCATTTGTAGGTATCAAAATAAAGTTTTTAATTATACGTTGAAAAGTTTTCATTTCTGACTAGCTAACTTCGTCTGCAACAACCTAATTATACATGAAAGTTCTGTTCCACGTGATTCACATATCTTAATTTACTCTTCTCTCCTCTATTTATAATCTACCCGATAACATGATTCTTAGAACTAGTCACTCTGCCAAACTGTTTGGAACGTTATATCCTACTTATCTAACAAACCAAGTAAAAACTACTCAAACAGAGAATGTCTGCTAATTTCACAAGCGTCACTTTCACACCTTCCGCCGCAGGACCTGAAGAAGTCCATCATCGACGACGGTGTAACAATGGTGGTGAACAACATAATCATCCCGCACAGTGGTTGGGATCCAAGCTCTTCCAGTGGCGAAACCTGCTGGTCCACCGTCTTCAGAAACGCTTCTGGTGTTCTGAGAAACGTGTCCAGCGCAGGAGAGTACGCAAGGAAGAAGCTTCGTGAATGTGAAGTTTACGTAGTAAGATCGGCCATCGAGAAATCGAACATTGGTAACAAGATCGTGGAGAACTGCGTGTGTATCCTGCGGAACCTGAGCTACCGGTGTCAAGAGGTCGAGGATCCTAATTATGACAAGCATCCGATACAATCGACGGTGCAGAACAGGGTAGCAGCACCTGCCAAAGGTGAGAGCTCGCGGATGATGCTTGTTGCATTCCGGGAATGAGACCGAGTGTACCCTTGCCTGCGTGCCATGGTAAACACGCGGGTTGTTCCCTCAGTGGGCATGCGGTGACACGCATGCGGCCGGATTGTGTGTGTTGCGCTGATAAGCGGCTCTTTCCCCGGGTTCAAGATAAGATAAGGGAAGTTCGCACCTATTGCGAACTACGGAGGTCAGACAGGCCTTCTGAAACGAGCGGGTGTAATTTTAGAATTATCTGACGCTTTGGTGGCCGCACTTTTCATGAAAATTCGCAAAATTTTCTTGATCATTTGAAATTCAGACAAGAGAAGCTATTGGATTTATGATATCTAAGCGACACTCACGGCTTAACCGTTTACTGATAGCTTTGCAAATAAAATTGCTCTCTGTGTAAAGACTGTGTAGGGTTAGGCGACAAGTGCTGAAACATTGCTTTAGCTTAGAGAACTTGGAAATGGGATACTAAAGCATAGACCTGAATAAATCAGCCTAAGCGGTCGTCAAAGTGTTAAAACCACCTCATAGTTCATACCATATCCAGCTAAATTGTAGAATCAATAGTCGTAGCTTATAGTCTTAATACAGTTCAAGTTAAAAGAAAGAAAGAAAAAAAAAAATTGTATAAAGAAAATATACATCCGCTTGGCAAGACAGTATTGTACAGTAACTCAATCGCATATCGACGATGTATTGCAGGTCTCAGACTTCATGAAGTGTGAGACGTGCAAGGTAGCCATTAGGATCCGTAGTTGGCACCGTATATACTCTCTCGAGTGAACCAAAAAAAGAAATGATATTCCACACCTGTGTACACTAAACGTTCGTTGTGATGCTTATATACGTCTCTGTTTGGAAGTTTCTTCTGTTGGTATTATTACCGCTTACACGTTCGATGGAAAAATTGGATGTGATCGGTATTATTATATAGCGATAGCACAAACTATAAATTGCCCAGTATCTATATCTCTCTTTGCAACTATACTCTAATTTATGTTCCCTTCGGTATTATGATTTTCCACTTGTTTCATTCTTAAATCCTTGTATCATAAGTTCTTCTTCCTGTACAAGGTCACAATACTTATAAACTTAGATGAAAAAGAAAAAGAAAAAAAAAAAGAAAAATCCTTTCTAGTTTAGCATGGATTAAAATGTGTTTCAATCTTTTTAGCATACAGTTTATGCCAAGGTAAGATTATTCTTGTAATTCCAACGCTAAAATTTAGTTCTTCCTATACAATTTTTTTTTCATTCATTTTTCTTTATCTTGAGAAAAGTTTCATTAGTCTGTGCATGCACTACGCTTCTCTCGACTTTTCTGGTTGTTCAGGCTGATTATTATCGCGTATCCACTTAGATATCCCAGAGGCAGGCGTATCGTTTGGCAAACAGATCACGTGATCGACGTTGCAATCATTGTGCAAATATTGATTCCGTCGACCACGCTGTATTCGTTACTTGAATAAAAAAAGGAGCAAGATAATACTGTTACACGCAGTTTGTATGGAATCCGTGCAAATGAACGGAGATCACTAAAGACACTATAGAGACTAAACACATAGAACAGTAGAGTGCCCTTGCTTTCCTCCAAAGCGTTACAATTGATTTCATTAGCAGCCCTTGTACACCAAGCCTTAATAGTGCATCTTGCCTGTTCCCATGATTGGCTCACTGTAAGTGCTCTGTGTTTGAAGCATTGGTGTGGCTGTATAATTAGAAGTAGCATACACAAACCAACATAATTCCCTTTCAGTCCTTCAACATTTAAAAAATCTCCTCTTAAACCTTTAGTTTGAACTGCATGCTCAGCTACTGTTGCCCAAATTAAACACAATTCTAAAACTCCAAAGCTGGAAGTTCATTCAATGATATTAGGCCATACATCTTTTATGCAACATTCATTAGTGACCAATTAATCATTATTTAATTCTCCAATTAACCTCAGCTCCCCATTATTCTGCTCTAGGTGAAAACTTGGGATGTTTTGGAGGAAGCAAGAAGAAGAAGGATGGCCAGCCTGTGCAGAAGGAGACCACAGCATCACGTACCACCAGCCAAAGAACAGAACCAGTCAGAGGCATGGAGTTGCTTTGGCAACCAGAGGTGGTCCAATCCTATCTGAAGCTGTTGCAGACTTGTTCGAACCCTGAAACTCTGGAGGCTGCAGCTGGGGCACTTCAGAATCTTGCTGCTTGCTACTGGCAGCCTAGCATTGAGATTCGTGCTGCTGTGAGGAAGGAGAAGGGTCTTCCTATTTTGGTAGAGCTTCTGCGGATGGAGGTATGATTCTTGAGGAAGTTAGATTTAGAAAAGTCAATATATTCATTGCATGATAGAATTTTTGATAGAGTACAGCAGAGTGAAATTGAGGAATCTGCATTTTTCCCGCAGGTGGACCGTGTGGTCTGCGCCGTAGCCACAGCTCTCAGGAATCTAGCGATAGATCAGCGCAACAAAGAATTAATAGGAAAATATGCCATGCGTGATCTCATCCAGAAGTTGCCCTCTGGGAACAACCAGCACGATCAAGGGACCAGTGACGATACAATCGCAGCGGTCCTGGCCACTTTGAACGAAGTGATCAAGAAGAACGCAGAGTTCTCGCGATCACTGTTAGACGCTGGTGGTGTCGACAGACTGATGAACATCACCAGGCAACGCCAAAAATACACGCCTCGTGTTCTTAAATTTGCAGGCAAGAAACGTGCTCCTGAGATCTTTAACTATGTCTTCTTCTTCTTCTACAGCTTTTAAATAATTTCTTGCTAGAAGAATTTAAAGACGTGTTTATTGTGGTTTGTAGGACAAGTCTTGTTCACTATGTGGCAGCACCAAGAGCTGAGAGACGTCTATAAGAAACACGGCTGGAAAGAGCAGGATTTCGTGACGAAAACAGTAGCAGCGCGGAATTCAGGGCCTAATTCACCCAACAACGCGAACAGGTAAATACTGTTGAATAGTTCCATCATATTATTTTATTATTAATTTTCAAATTAATCGTTTCTTTTCCTTAAAACCAACTAATCTTTCATTTTCTTAATTTCTGTTCCCCTGGACTCTGCGTTTAACTTTTTAAGTATATGCTTTATCCATTCCTTTCTACTTAGTTAGATAATTTAATTTAAGCAGAGTCCGCATTTTGAACTTCCTATTGAACTTCTTGACACTACGTTAAATGTAGCTATGATTGTAGCACGCTGAACCGACCAATGGCCAGCCAAGGGAGCACCAGATACGAGGACAGAACGATTCAGAGAGCAAACATGAACTCGAATAACGTTGGTCGACCTACTATATATCAGCCTGTAAGTAACAACAACTAATGGTACCGATGACGAGAAAGTTATAGTCTTCATTAGGGCATAGATCAGACACAGTGTTCTTCAGTAAAAGTAATAGGGGTAGTTTCTGAAGAATGTGCATGGACAAGAGTCCTGTTCAGGGTATCTATAATCTTCCATGAAATTTCATTCCATTGTCAGATTTCTTTGATTCATAGAGTTACCATATAATTTAGTTGACAGATAACTTAGCAAAAGAAAAATATAAATAAAATTAGCAAAACGTCCAGATTGAAAGATGAGCTTTGAACATAGTTCTTAGTTTTCAGAGTCTTCCTCTTGCGAGCAAGAGAGCAATATCTTGCAATTACATTTTGTTTGTAGATATCTAATGTACATTGTACACAGATGCATTTTGTTGTTTCCTCTTTTATTTTTTGTTAACTGTTTTATATTATACATACATAGTATATACGTATATCTATGAGGACATTCTTAGGCGAATAACGATATCGTGTATCCACGGAGGACGTATTAATCGCAGAACGCTATTATTTATACGATATTTATCCGCTTACGCGGAGATCGATGTAGAAAAAAAATAATACGACATTGTAACGGGAGCGGAAAATTCATGAGAGAAAAAAGAAAGTGACAACGGCACACCTCACACAGTTGTGATACAGAGGGGAGAGCGACTAACCTAACCTACATTTATCATAGGTGTATAAACTAAGTCAATTAACGAGTACCAATTATAATCCACTGTGTTTCATGCTGTATGAAACCCGTATTATTCGATAGAATACGCAGTATTACCATAGAGAGATGGGTACGCATAAAACAGTCCACGGAATTATCGAATATCTAGCATTTTTACATAATAATCGACCGATACACTTACGTAACGCGCGTTATCGCCGCGTAACCGGGGAGGATTTGCGTCGTACGCGATAATGAATGCGCCTAAATACCGCTTTATCGTGAATTACGAGTGAAACGTCGATTGTCAAAATGCATTTTATCGAAATGCACGGTTCAACGACGCGAGTTGCTCCTCGAGCCGTTCGTTACATCCGGCAACCATTTTTGTTTCAGCGAATTTTCGTATACTTCAGACTTTTTATACTGAACCATGCATGAACTCTGATGATTTTATCTTAATGAAAATGTGTATCATTGTAGGGAACAAGTGTTTTCTTTTTAACATCGAACTGTTATTATTAATGTGTCGAAGCGATTGTATAAGGGAGTAGCCATTACAGGACCAAATACTTAACACTTTCCGCCAATTAGAGAGCATATTCAGCCGTAATTAAATGACGAGTATTAGTATTAACCTAAAAATTTATCAAACATCACAGATGATACTTTGAACAGAAAGAAGCGCACAAATTCTTTGTCTCTAAAAACGGCTGAAGTTCGCTGCTTAATTGACAGTGATTAATACGATTATCGTAGAGCGTAGCGTGACAGTGCATCCACCTGTTCCACGAAATTCCACCACGAGAAGTCAGTCTCTAAGGAAGATTTAATTTCTCGCTGTGAGAATGGAAAATAATCTATATATACACATTAGAGTGTTAGGTTTCGATTCAACGCACGACACTATTTTCCGGTTCGAACAAGCAGGGTAAAACGTTTAACCAGAAGCACAAAGAAAGCTCATATTCTTTTCTCGGAGGAACAAATCGACAAAACGAAGAGATCTTTTTAATACACGAACACACGTACACTTATTAAGCGGTTCTATCGTATGAGAGAAAACAAAAGAAACAAAAAAAAAAAAAAAAGGAAGTAAACGCTAAACGCACCTCGAAGCATGGTTTATAGTGACACGTTGACTATTGCACGAACTTATTTATAATCTATTTATATCCAAATTAATCGAGCATAAATAAAAGAGTATCTGACAGTATCCACTGTTTCCGTTCTTCTCGTTGTACGATTATTTTGGGAACGTTCGAATTAATTTTCACCCAATTTTCCTTCAACTCACAAGATATTTAAAACGACAATGAGAAAAAGTAATAGTAAAAAAAAAAGCACAGAAAAAAACACCAAACCCCATGAGCCGACGCGCCGGCCTGCCCCCTCCGCGCCAGTGCCCCAAAAAGAAAACTAACCGTTGGCTTGTGTGTGTGTTGCAGCAACCGAAACCCGGTGAGCCGCTCTACGCGCAAGTTAACTTGGAGAAGAAAAAGAAGCGGCAGTATGAGCTGGGGGTGGGCCAGGCGCAGGGTCAGGGCCCGGTCGTCGGCTCGGGAGTGGGCGTCCCTGGTGGCGCCTTACCAGGTGGCCAATGGGTAGCAGATGGCGTTGGTGTGCCCGACGGTTCAGCCGCCACCGCAACGGTGAACGTTCCACCGAATTCTACCGCCGCCTCTGCTGGCGATTCCTGGGTATAACAGGGTCCAACCATGGTCCAGGAGGCTGGTGTCCTTCTTCAGAGGCTGCTGCAAGTGTGAAGTCGCCGGCTGACGTCATCTTGGATGCAGGAGGACTCGAGGAAGCGTTTTCAGAGGAGAAGAGAACCGTAGACGTTGTATCTTGCCGATTTTGCTGGCGTTTCATTTGGGAAGAAGACTGGCTAGGGCATTGTGGATTAGATGAACGAAGGAATTTTTGTTCTTGTTGGAGGATATTCCAGAGGGAAACACGGAAGACTGAGGACAAGAAGGGTATAGAGGTGTTAGTTGAGGCTTGAGATACTTCAGGACGTCTCATGTAGGAAAGCTTTCGTTTTGGATCATGCAATATATATACACCGTCTTTACGTACAGTTTAGAGAAGTAACAGAAAGAGAAAAAGAGAGGTTAGAATTGAGAGGAGAAAGAGATGCATGAGAGGCGAGGTACAGTCATAAGACTGC